AGGATGATCCAGCAGCAACAGCGTTTTCTTGATGGAAATACTTGTGTTACGTCGAGCTGCGTTTCCCCATCACACACGGTTTCCTCTGCATCTCCGCACAGCGCAGGGGGCACGATTCAACGCACACTCAACAGGAAACGCGCATGCTCGCGCCTTTAGCGAGCATGCGCGTTTCCTGTTGAGTTGCAATAAATGCTAAACTCTCTGCAGGTTCTTGTCTTTGTCGTTCGCTCTATTCAGCTGGCTTTAGAAACACACCGCGAGAAGGTGGGGGCCGGGTGGTGAGGGTTACGGGGGCGAGAAACGCAAAAGTAACGCAATAGTTACTTTTACTAGTAACTAGTTACTTTTATTGTGGAGTAACTCAGTTAGTAACTCAGTTACTTTTTGGGAGAAGTAACTAGTAACTATAACTAATTACTTTTTCAAAGTAACGTACCCAACACTGGTCATATCCTACCAGTCGTCTCTTTAGGAACACTGGCATTGAAATAGTGTGTGTGCTGTCTTGAAGGTTTATGTTTTGTGCACTATTAGTCCGTTGAATAAAGGTAAAATAAAGATAAAAAGTTCCTATAAAAAAAGTGCTAATAAATATACATATATTATTTTAGTATTTAACATTTGAAATGAAACATTAGAAGATTGGAACTGTGAGGAAACATAAGGCATGTTGTGTACCTTCAGAATTGCTGCAGCTTTTAATCCAGGGAAACTAAACCAAATGGAAATCAGGGGGCCAAGTCGTATCTAGCAACAATTAATAATGAAAGCAGTTCTTTTATTTACTATTATCTTTGAAAGATTGACTCCCATCTCCTTGAGGGAAGGATCATGATGGCGGCATGCTCCCTGTCAGCAGATAATGTACATCTGCAGCTCATTAGTATGCACCTCAACCATCTGTCCACCATGTTTGATCCAGTCCACAGCGACAGCATCAGTTTATTGACTCAGTGATCAGTCAGCTGCTTAATGTGTGTACAGCAAAGCCCTGCTCACACAGCAGTGTCCCAGCTGCATTTTCTTAAGTGTTTATTTAGAGATTAAGCTGACCGAGAGCACGTTTTTACTCACAGTAACGGCCTGCAGCAGCAATTTATGCTCTTGCAGTGATGTGCTGTGAGAGATCCATCGTCTCAATCAGTATGAGAACTCCTGCCTCAACGTAGAGCCTGAGCTGGAGGATTTGAACTGAGGCACGATAAATTCACTTTGTTAAACACCAGGCTGCTGCTCCTAAGTGCACAGCTCTGTATGGGTTAGGAGACAGTGCATCTTGATGCTGGCACACACACATATTGGATGGTTTTATCTGCTAGCGGATCACAAGGTAAAAGCAACTATAAGCCTTTTAAACCTTTTTCCATGAAGGTTTATTTTATAATCTTTTCAGTGGAAGTTTTACGTATGTAGATTTTTTTTTCACCATTTTCAATTCTGACTTACTAAATACAGTATGTTGACATGCTTGCAGATGAGTATGCCTTCTGCTTTGCAGTTACAGTTACAACACAAAAAACATGCTGAGATAAAAAAACAAAAACAAAAAAACATCTTTATTAAAGTTACAGTTTCAAGATTTTAGGTTAGTTTTTGTGTGTGGCCATTTATTTATCTTAGTGGTAGCAATTTCCCAGAAATAAGCTACATTTTGGAGATTCAGCGGTATTTCTAGGAATGAGGAAAGGTTTAAGGTGTGAACTGCGTTTTAGTTAGGTTTAGAGGTAAGAGGCTCAGGGTGAGGGCATAGATTTGAGTGCAACAGTTCTGCAGGAAGACAATGGAAAGTCCACACAAAGACAGTAAGACAGCGGCCCTCTCTGGGCATAGCCGTGTGTGAAGCGTGTTGGTTAGCATTTTACTACATCGGTCGAATCTACAGGAGGAGAGTCTGTTGTCGAGTCTGAAGTCAATAGATCGCCAGTAGGGACTTTGCCAAACTTTGCCAAATACAACTAAAATTCGCCATCATAGCCAGCGGTCACACACGGCTATGCCGAGAGAGGGCCGCTGCAGAAGGGCTGCGGTTAGACCTGGCTGCCGTTAGCTTCAGAGCTCCGCTGGTTGCCGCGGTCCTCTGAAGTTCGGAACATTTTCTTTTAAATTATGCATTAAATCTGTGAATGGGCTTAAAAGTATAATGTTCTTGCCTCAAATGATCTTAAAACATACTTTTATTGAACAACAGCAACAGACAAGAGAACATTTAACTTAATACTCTCTTAATACTCAACTGCTCTGTGAGTGAAAAAGATGGGCCGCCAACCAATGAGCAGAAGTTGACACTCTAGGACACCCCCCCCCCTCATTTGCATAATGAGACAGAAATGCATACAGAAATGTAAATACGACAGGCAGAAATGTAAAAAGAGCAGCTAGAAATAAACAGCTGCGAAGAAATAACTAAGGTAAAAAAATGCAAAGGAAGAATAAAACAGACAAAAATATTATAACATGCACATAAATAAATACTTAAAAATATAGGTAATTAAAAAATAAAGTTGAAGATTATAAAGGACAAAAAAATAAATAAGGTAAATATTACAAAGGCAAATAAATAAAGAAACTAATTAAAAGAGTTATATACATTTATGTCTCACTGTATAATTTAATTTCTAGTTACATTTATTTGTTTATTTTATTTTTGTTGGCATTTAATTGTATGCTTATATATTTATTGAGCATTTATTTATTTCTGTTTTTTTTTTAAATATGGCAGAGTTTGTCCTCCATAATAAAACTAAGAAAATTTAGTATAAGAAAATTACTATCCAGAATTGTAGAAAAATACCTCTTTAACAGGGTAGTGCATTAAAGCATCTATCCTTAATATTTTTTCTTGCATTACTTTTACTTTTATACTTTCAGTAGTTTTAAAAATGGTACCTTTACACTTTTACTTCAGTACAAAGCTGAAGTTGATACCCTAACTTCTACAAAATTGTTTTTGAACAGTACGATTTATATTTCAACTTAAGTAATACACATTTTAATTCAGATTTTTGTATCTTGCCAATAAGGCTAATATTACCCACATTTTAGGACTGATGCTGGCTTAACTGCCACCTGCTGATAGCATTTAGGAGACTTCATGCAGTTAAAGCTCTGCAGAGACATTAAAGGCTTTATTTTACATCGCAGAGATAAGCCTGAAAAATCTTAACCTGAAAAGCTTACCCTGAGGAAGGGAATCACCATTGGACTGGTGTCAGAATTGTGCTTTTTTTCTGTCGACATCAATGCCAGAGAATGTGAGATGCAAACAGATTTTGGAGATTTTAGATAACTGCCAAGCATCTTGGAGTCTTTAAGCTCTGAGTGGATTTTGAGTGTCCCACAGCTGTCCTACTTGTATCCCGCTTGCATTCTCCTGCACTGCCAGTGCAGTTTGGTGACTGATCTAGTGACTGGTTTGAAAAAAGAAATTTTGAAGGTTTACACGTGTCTCATTAATGACGTATTCCCACCGGGATGAGCAGTATTATTTAAACTTAAAGAAATTGTAAAACTGTTTGAGGACAGATTGACTATTTTTACACAAAAGTAATAATCCAAGAGCAATTTGATTAAATCAAAATAACAGCTATACATGAAAGTTTAATTGAAATTAGATGTGATCCCCATGACTATCCTAACTCATACTACTAACCTTTCCTTATTTTCATGTTATGAATACGTGGCTTTTTTTTTGTCCTACTGTATTATCTGTTTTCTTGGCAATAAACATAATTTAAACAGAACAACAGAGACATTGAATAAATTAGTTGTTTTTTGTGTGCGGCATTCAAATAATAAACTTTAAATATTGCATTTGCTGTAGGATTTAGGTAAAAGTCCGACAAATTAAAAAAACAAAACACAATTTAATCTTAGGCCGACTTGGTGATCTTAATGTAATTACCGATACAATACATTTATGTCTGGCAGCACATAATCTGCTTTGTATACATAATAAACACACATAGACATGCTGCATGTGTCTACAAAGCTTACAAGCACATTAAAAGATTTTAATCTATTTAATTGCCTAAGCTGTTGACTGACACATACACATTAGTGAAGACATCTCGTGTATATCAGCGCTCTTGCCCCCTGGTGCTGAACAGCCTGAACTAATGTTTACTGCTGCTTCCAATTCATCAGTACGTCTCATTGTGTTAATGCTCTGTTTTTCAGATAATCTTTGGCACGCATATTATCTCAATGTGCTATTACGTTCATGTGATGTCATCAGATAAGGAATATGATGTAAGATGCTACCAAGCTAGAGCAGAAATCGTAAAGATATGATCATCCCTATTTGGGTGTTAGGATTTGGGTCTCTATTGTTTGTGTTTTCTTCCTTTCAATTGTTTTATTATGTTTTAAAAGGTCTTGCCTTATTAGTGTATCGATGTGTTCTGTTCTTTTCATCTTGATTTATTTCTCTACTTTCAGTGTCTATCTTTTCCCCTTGGTTAGAAGTCTCTGCACATCTCAGCCCAGCTGTATTAATTAGTCTTCCTTCCTCAGTTTCTCTGTATTCATTTTTCCCCTACTGCATTATTTGTCAGTATCTACGTGTCCCTCAGTATCAAGTATAGGCCTATCAATTCTCATTGGATGTAGATTTCTCTTACTCTGTGCTTCGGGCCTAGTCATTCTAGGCCTTAACATCTATAAATATTTCCTTTTAGTATAAATTACTCGGTCTGTCATTGATCATCTTCCATATCATGTTTCTGCTTTATATCTTTCCAAAGTAAACATGTAACTGTTCTGTTAACTCTTACTTCTATTAAGTTTTTTATTTTATTCGAGATGTACCTGACATTTTTTTTTTTTTTTGTGATTGCAGGCCATTACAGATATCTGCTGCAATCTTGCAAAAAAAAAAAAAACACCTTGTGAGATTCAGGCAGCTTTAACCTTCTGGTAGACTACATACATGACGTATAAGTAAGGGGGCTCAATGATGCTGTCAATCCTAAGAATGTATCTTTATGTTTTTGTTTCAGGCTCGTAAACCAGGTTACTTTTCTTTTCTGGACCCGTTTTCTCCAGCTGTTTGGCTTTTCATGCTGTTGGCCTACCTCGCCGTCAGCTGTGTTCTCTTTCTTGCTGCCAGGTATGAAACCTTTCTAACAGTTTCAGTTGAAGTGTATCATTGCTTTCATATTTTTCTAATTTTCCCTTTTCCTTAGTTTTGAATGGATTTACAATTGTCTTATCTGATTGGGTTAAAAAGAGTTCATCCTTTGCTGATTACAACTGCAAACATGTATTCCAAGTGAAAAAAATAACCTTAATAATCAAAAACACAATGAAGTAACTTTACCTTCTTTCTGAGAGAAATATGTCCAGTTTGGTCCAAGTTTTATTTGAGCTTCATATTTTATATATTTTTATATCTTTATATTTTTTTTATTACATTTTTGTGTGTCCTTCTGTGAACCACTGTTTGCCCTTTAGGGGTGTGTGCATATGATGGCTTTTTTTGTTGTTGCTTGAAACTAAACATAATGGCCGGCTTTTATTTTTGTTTATTGGCCGAAAATCAGAAAAGTGATAATAAACATTATCCAATTGCATCTTTTTATTTATTATTTTGTCACCAAACGAAAATGAAAACAAGAGGGCTCAGTTACAATTAGCATATTTTTGACAGGTAATCTGACCCTGGAGTTCTCTCTTTCCTGGATACCTCACGTTTTGTACAAATGTCCAAAATGGAAAATCCAAGCTATGTGGGTCTAATCAGGCTGCAACCTGATTTTGCAGCAATTCATTTCCATCTAGCTTGCAAAATGTACCCTATCCGTAGTATAGTTACGGGGCTGAAATGGGGTGGTTGAAAATGAAGCTGGTTGGGTAGTGTAGAGGCTCCCTCAGTCCCACAGCGAGCACCCTCTCAGTTTTTCAGTTGTTACATTTTTTGCTCAAGCCATTTATTTCCACAGAATAAAATTAAGTTCTCCTGTAGAATATCTTTTCACCATTCACATTTTCTCCTTGTGGTTCAATAAACTAAAAAGCAAAATGATAGTTTCAATCCATCCATCCATTTCCCGTCATGCTTATCCCAAATGGGGTCGCGAGAGGTGCTGGAGTCTATCTCCATCTGTCTACAGATGAGAGGCGGGGTACAACCTGAACAGGTAGCCAGTACATTGCAGGGCAAAAAAAAATGCTAGTATGTTTTTGTTTATTCGATGTTTGGTTTCTGACTAATAAACAAAATGGCTGATTATAGGTGGACCTTTAGACCCTTTGCTTTTGACATATTAAATGTTTAAAATCAATTAACTCTATTTAAATTAAAAAATAAAATGACATTACTGAACAACAATTGAATTAATGTATTAAGTCAAAAGAGCATCTAAACTACCTTTCCCTGATGTTAATAACTAATTGTCCCTGTTGTAATTCTGGACAGAGACCTCTGATTTTTTACCTGGAATCTCCCAGTTTGGGGGTCACAGCCCCCAGTGCTCCAATTACCGCTGGCACCACTGCTGCTCTTACTTTCCACATCTTTTCTAGCTCCTCCTTCAGTCCTTGGTATTTCTCAAGCTTCTCGTGTTCTTTCTTCTTGATGTTGCTGTCGCTTGGGATTGCCACATCTATCACTACTGCCTTCTTCTGCTGGTTGTCGATCAACACGATGTCTGGTTGGTTAGCCATCACCTGTTTGTCAGTCTGGATCTTGAAGTCCCATAGGATCTTAGCTCGGTCTTTCTCAACTACCTTAGGAGGTGTCTTCCATTTTGACCTGGGACTTCCAGCCCATACTCATGGCAGATGTTCCTGTACACTATGACAGCTACCTGGTTGTAGCGTTCCATGTATGCACTTCCTGCCTGCATTTTACACCCTGCTGTTATGTGCTGTATTGTTTCAGAGGCATCTTTGCACAGTCTGCACTGGGGGTCCTGCCTGGTGTGGTAGACCCCAGCCTCCATTGATCTTGTACTGATATATATATATGTATATATATATATATATATATATATATATATATATATATATATATATATATATATATATATATATATATATATATATATATATATATATATACTGTTATAATTCTTGTGTTTTGCATATCTGCTGCTTTATATTTCAGGCTCAGCCCTTATGAGTGGTACAACCCTCATCCATGTCTACGGGAGCGACGGGATATCTTGGAGAACCAGTACACACTGGGCAACAGTCTGTGGTTTCCAGTTGGAGGCTTCATGCAGCAAGGCTCGGAGATCATGCCCCGTGCCCTGTCCACCCGCTGTGTTAGCGGAGTCTGGTTGGTACTATGAGAGGTTTTTTTTTTTTTGGTTGGTGACATTGTTTATGGTAGACATTTAAACTGAGTCATTAAGTTAAGTTTAAACCAGAATTTTTTTTTGCCCTATTGCCTTTGCTGGCTGTAACCAGACATGAAACATGCAGAGGGAAAAGCAGGGAGACATCTAAGGTCCTAATATCCTGAATTAAAACATTTAAGGGTTTTTATTCGCTCTTCATCAATGAGCTTACTGCTTTACTGCTACACCACAACCTGCTATTTAAGAAAAGGGCTGAAGAAACATATTACTAAACCTACATAATCATTTTGGCTTATACGATCAGCAATAGCACTGTTCCAATCATTAATGGAAAAAACATGGTGTGAAACCAAAAAACAATTTTTTTGACTGTTAATTTGTTTATTAATTTTGAATAGGAATTATCAAAACAAATCTGAATAAATATTTCTAAGAGCTTACAGATATTTCCTAAAAAGGGAGTGTATGCACCATTAAACACGTGTAAAAATGCCCAGAAAGGTAGCGGAGAGACCTAAAACTCATTTAAGTTACCCCCATAAAGAGCAACTATGTCTGCATAAACACAATAGCTGCTTCCTTATGCAATCCTGTCAGAAATTTTAACACATACATCAAAACAAAACAAAATAAAGAGAGAAAAACACTTCCATTTGAAAATATTTGTGGTTTTTACAAGACAACACACAAATTCAAGCTTAATTGGGCACCAGACAGGTAACAATGATTTAAAACTACCAACAATGCGCACAAAAAAAAAACCTCAAGGGTAATATACTACAATAATTACCATAGTTAACAATGATTTAGGGATGCTAACAATGGTTACCATTCCTAATAGGATGGGATGAATCCCATCAGGAGTAGTTATTTGTTTAGATCTGCATTTTACAGCAGAAAAACTTAATCAGTCTTTGTGAAATTCTTGTTCACTGTCACCTGCATCAACCCTCATCTGCACTGTGCTTTACAATACACTTTCCCTGTACATGTATTTGAATTGATTAATAGATGATAATTGTTTCCATTATGGTACTGTGCTGTTCCAGAGCCATAGCCCATACACAGAGACACACAAGGAGTTCTCTTTGGTTCTAACAGTTTTAAGTTGACCCCTACCCCTCAGTGTGTAACTTTCTTCTCTTTTTCAAAACAGTTTATGAATATTTTACTTAACGTTTTCCTTCATGGATTTTTACACTGCCTTTGCAATGTATAAATAGATTCAATCTACTAATTTTAACATTTTTGATTGTAAAAACTAAGCATTTATATTTTCATGGTGGATAGTTTTGTTAGAATATTTTAATCTAAAATATATGAAAGTTATCATCATAGAAAGTTTTTTGATAATAGATATGTAAATCACGGATAATTTTTATAAATTTTTTTATTTTCAAGGTGTTAAGGTTTCAATCTCTAATTTCTTTTTAAGCTATGCAATCTTTAATTGGTCATATTTTGATATTAAATCTAGTTTGCTCTGTAAATTTATAATCTTTTATCAGAATTTTTTTGCAATAAAGAACTTGATTCATTTCAAAGAGAAACAAACTACTCTAACTCTGGTACGGGCCTCTTCAACATGTCTTTGTAGATGACTGTAGGCAGGCCCGATCTTCTGTAGCAGGCTCTTACAGCAGATCTGAAGAAGCTGTTGACTAAAGACACTATTGTCGTTCAACAGTGTGATGAGAGCGAAGCTTAGGGTTTTCCATAATGCTATTCAGCTTATAAATAATTTCTCATTCTAAAATGATTTGATTTTCTTGACAACAGACTTATAGGAGATATGCAGCATCCTGCTGCAAACACTGATGTACCTAAGCTTTCTGGAGTTGTACAGTTCGATTTACCTCTTCTTGTAAACACCTTCACAGTTGTATCTCCAGTTGAGTCTGTTGTCCTAGTAAACACTGATGTATTTAGATTCCACCTTCTGTTCTCCAATGATGGTAATACTGCTGCCTTGTTCCAATTCGATGTTCAGATCTATATTGTCTTCTTGTTTTACATTACATTACATTACATTCAGGATCAGATTTTTGCTTTTAAAGAATGCCACAAAATTGCACTAAGCTTCTTCTCCATCTCTGATACACCCAATGACTGCAAAGTCATTCAAGTACAGTATTTCAGCAGATAACCAGATTCTGTCTTGTTCTTGAGGTCAGGTCTTGAGGAAAGTTCATTCTCCTGTGCTGCTGACTATCTGGTTAGACAGTTTATCTCACCATCTGGACTGTTTTTCGGGTAGTCTTTGATTGCTGTCTGGAGTTTCTGACAATGGCAATCAAGCTGAATCGTGTTAAATGCAGTGGAGAAATCAAAGAACGTGATCCTCACAATGCTGCCTGTCTTGTATAAAAAACCAGAGGGTTTGTTGTATCATGTTATCTTCAAGTCTGATGGCTCAGACGATCCTGAAAGATGCTGGTTTGCTATGCCTTAAGGGGGATATACACCAGGTGCGTAACAGCGCGTAAGCGCAGCAGAGCAGCATGTGCTCGGTTGCGCATGGCAGTTTTTACATTTTAAACAGTTAAATGTTTTATACTGGACATGTAATATGCTCGTTCAATATGGAAGGCAAAATTTGGCTTTCCATATGCCGCTTTGTTGCGCTTTAGGTGAACCAACAGAAGACTTTAATGATGTTGTATATAAGGGCAACAGGTCTGTGGTCATTGTGGATTGATGGCTGTTTTCTTTTTTCTTTTTTTTTGGGAGACCAAAACAAGACAGGTGGTCTTCTACAAAACTGGGACTAGCTCCTGGCAGACGCTAAGGCTGAAGTGGTGTTGTAGGATCCCTCAGGGTTACTCTGCACAGGGCTTCAGGACTCTTATGCTGACACCATCTTGACCTGGTGACTTATTCTCCAGCAGCCTCTTTAAGTGACTTCTGGAGACGGAAAGGGAAATGGGGATGAAAAAAGGAGCAGCACCATCTTCTGATTTGGTTGAAAATATACCAAGTGTCTCAGGTCACTCAAAGAGGAAAGATAAAACATTTGAGATTAGACATGGAAGCTTTGGGTGAAAGGAGTGTTTTTGGTCATTTGTTTTTGTTTAGTTTAGTTTTTTTGTTGTTTTCAGTATCCGCTCAATGTTTTTATTATGTTCATTTTAGACTTACCATAATAGCAAATTTTTCTGTATTCATTTTCCTAGCTCATTCCTGTGGTCTATTCTTTTGTCTTGTTTTTGATTTATTTCCCTCAGTATAATGTTAAGCTTTTCCTCTTTTTTAAGTGTTTTATTGTGCCTTAGTTCATATCCTCTGTGTCATTTAATCTTCTTACCTCAGCCTCCCTGCTTACCTTCTCTCTGCCTAATTTTCCTCTGATTCTAACAGCGACTCCCAATGTCATTTCCCACACTTCACTTAGTGCTTGGGTTTATTGTTGGTCATTGTTCCTCTCTGGATCCTCCCGTTAAACTGCCTGTTCTCTCCCAGCAGTGATGCTCTGTTTTCTGCTGTGTCCTGTTCTCCTTGCGTATATTTCACGTTTTTGTCCTTCATTGACATTAATCCTGCTATCTATCATGCTGTTCATGAGGTTTTGTCTAGGTTTTAGTCCAGCCCCTTGCCCACAAATCATTACAGGATCTTAATAAAACATGAATGTCTTTTAGGGTGTTCCCTCATCTATTATTGGGGATGGCAATAAGAGTGGAGGCAGCTATAAGTGTCAACAGATCATTATTTGAAGAGTTCAAGCAGTATTTCCCAGTCAGCACAAAAAAAGCTCCATCTATTCATTATTGCGAACCCTCTGAAAGCAATCACAATCTGAGAAACATAACCTGCTGCTTTTAATCTAAAATACTGACAGTACATAAAAAAAAGGAAAAACAAAATTAAGAGTGTTCCGTGTCTTGAAAACAAAAATGAGAGATTTATGTTGTTCCCAGGCATGAAAGGTTAATACACAAGCATGTTGCAACAGCTTGCAATTATTACACCGAGTGCATTTGTCATGTTTGTTTAGTGTCCTCTGAAGCTGAAAAACCAATTTGCATGCCTCACACCTTGAAACAAGTGAACTGACAAAATTACTCTGGCATCTAATCTTGCTTAAATATTGCTCACTGTTAATCAAAATCGCTTTTTGGGGGAGTAAGAATAGAGTACAATATAAGTAACATCTAACATCAGTGGTAATATTGGTCAATGTGCCGGAACAAAGTGGTGACAATAAATAGCATCTCCTAGTGGCCATAGCCATTAAAACAGGAGTCAGGGAAGAAGTAAAGAAGTAGGGATGAGAGCTAGGAAAGGTGGATAAATGGGAAGAAGAAACACTAGAGCAGGGATCCCAGATTTCAGACCTCCCTCCAACACCTCCTTCTTTAGGAACATTAGCTGAAGGTGAACAGATGGTATTGACTCCAATGTAAAAATTATGCAAATTTCTCCCAAGGTTTTATTTCCACTCCTCTACAAATCTTTTCTTCTCCATAGTTCAAGATATTTACAGTGGCAAACGTTAATTAAGGATCTGCAGACAGACTTTTATTCATCATAGAGTAGTTGATACAGTACATGCTAGTCTTACTTAATGTTGTCTTTAAGAACTGTGTAATCTCTGCCTTTAAAACTGTTCCTTAAAAACATTAAATTGCCTTTCATAATGAATGATTTTGTTTTATCAAAGTACTATAAATAAAAAAGGTTTATTTCAATCATCTAAATATGGGTTTGAATTTAACTCAATAAAAACTGCGAGGGATGTAAGGTTTTTCTTTAAGGAATATGCAGCATTCCTCTTCAGAGTTTTAGTTTTACCTTTTCACATAACTTTAGTGCTATTCTGAGATTTGCTTAAGTCATTAAGAAAATGAGGGGTTTTGCTTGTAATTAGCATTTTGGACAGAGTATCTTTGACTTTCATATCTCTCCTCCCTCAGTCCCAGCAGCGGCAGCTAGACAGATGGTAAAGCGATACTGAAGGGGCTGGAGGGGCCAATCATGGATTTTCCCTGACAGCGCTCTGCCTAGTCTGGCACTTAGCCTCATAAAAGCTAATGATAGCTGTGGTACAAGTTGCAACAACTTGATGTCTGTTTTCTGTATGACTGAGTGGGTTGTTGGCTGTTATGTCCATGTTGTGTAATACTGGAGAATTGAGTTATACTAATATTGTAAAGGAACATAAAAAAATATCATTTAAAATCTCCTAACCTTTCAAAAGTGTTTTATAAAAGCAATTAATTAGGAGAGGTCTATTTGGATGATGAGCCTTCCAATTTAATTTAGCTAACAAAAGAGCCATAACCAGGTTATGACTGTTCCGGTAATGGTTTACTTTTTGATCCACGGTAAGTAATTCTCTGACCTGCTGCGTGAATTTCTCCCACCTGCTCAATGTTTTTTTGTTTTCATTCATTAACCTTCTCCTTACATTTCAAAGAGTTAAATTCTCCTTCTGTCTGAATTAAATGAGCTGCTTTAATTATGTCCGTCCATTTTACTCTTAAGGGTCTGGAACTAGTTGGTGAGACTTAAAAAAAATAAAGCAGCGTCAAGAAAACACTGTATCTTATTTATAATTCGACTGGAAGTATAGTTCATAGTTAAAAAATTAGCCACATTTTTAACATCAAGTATATATATATATATATATATATATATATATATATATATATATATATATATATATATATATATATATATATAAATCCGCCATTGACTTTTCAAGTAAAGTCAAAATTAAGGAAATGAGGTTTCATTTAGACCGATCAGGTGTTGCTTTTTATACCAAAAATAATAAAATAACAATGCATCTCAAGATATTAGAATAGAATATGATAGACCTTTACTGATCTCACGTTGGAGAAATTCACTTGTTACAGCGGCTCTTATGAACAACAGAAGGTGCACAAAGGAGGAAAAGGTTCATGACGAAAAATTCAGTGCATCCAGATATATACAGTGGATGGTAAAAAATAAAAATAAAATAAATTCATGTAGTGCTTTTAGTAAACTTTAACTTAGAGTTTAGTGAAAAAACAAAACTAAAAAAAACGTATTTTTACAACAGCATGAGCTAAAAAAGGTCATGTTTGGACATAACTCAAGCTTTTGCTTTTCTTTTGAAACAGAAGAAGCCCATTACTGTATTTCTCGAAATAAAGGCCACAATTGCCAGAAAATTCAAATAAAAAATAAAGACTATAAAAGTTTTTATATGGGAGAGGTGTGAAGAGGAAACTTCTGTTCTATTAGAAAAAGCCTGAAGGCAAAACTAACCTTTACCAGAGACAAAGACCTAAACTTATGGATTAATAATGGAATAAAAGAAGTTCAATATACAGCAGCATTAATTCATCATATCAGATGATCATTGAAATCCTTTCCCAGAATGGCCCACCACAATATATTGGTGGCACAAGTTATTCTAGACTTATTAGCTTTTCTTTTCTGACAGGGAGATAAGGGCATTTCCACCGCTCTCACGTCTGTCTGCTAAAAAGCGCCAGCCGGAAAACACATAAAAAGAGTTCAAAAGGTTTATAGCTTGCCATTTATATTGCTGCAATAAAAAAGGATATGTTTGTGCATCATGTGGTTGTTTACCAGCTACAAAATACTCAGAAATCTGCTTTTGTTTGCTTCGGTTTAAAATTTTAAACTGGCTGACTGGCTGAAAATACAGTTGTATGAATTCAATAATAAATGCACACTGGATTAAAAAGAATATATTTACCAACTGCTTTTTTGAGAATTGCTAGTTGTATGATTATTTATGTAATTAATTTTAAAGAGTATGCAGAGTGTGTTTTATATCTGTGGGAATATTTGCATGCCTTGCTTCCACCTCCACCTGTTCGCTCCTCATGCTGTTTTCAAAAACTTGTCTTTAATACCGTTCTTTATAACTTTTCTTTCATTTCCTCTTCAGCAGAAGCATCCTACTCATTTTGCTGCAGCTCCAGTTCAGGTTTAGGTTGATGATTTTTACCTAAAACTCTTGACATTTCCTGACAGTGTCATCCATATCTCTCCCTAACTTCCTTCCTCTGTCAGCTCTTTATAAAACCAAAGAGATGCTACTGTGAGAGCGGGGAAAGGGAAACAAAGGCTGAAACTTCTCTTTTTCCATCCTTTAGGTGGGCGTTCACTCTCATCATAATCTCCTCCTATACTGCCAACTTGGCAGCGTTTCTCACCGTACAGAGAATGGAGGTGCCCATTGAGTCTCCTGATGACCTGGCCGACCAAACCAACATACAATATGGAACCATACATGGAGGATCCACAATGACGTTCTTTATGGTGAGACAGGCTTCTATACAAGCAAGCTTTTTTTTATCTTTTAGGAATAAAAATGACTCTCAAGCTGTTAATTATGCTAATAATACTGTTTAGCAAAGTATCAACATAGTCTCCAATTTCTCCTTCAGAACTCACGGTACCAGACATACCAGCGAATGTGGAATTACATGAAGTCCAAGCAGCCCAGTGTTTTTGTGAAGAGCACAGAAGAGGGCATTGCCCGTGTCCTTAATTCAAAGTATGCCTTCCTGATGGAGAGCACCATGAACGAGTACTACCGCAGCCTAAACTGCAACCTCACGCAGATCGGAGGCCTTTTGGACACAAAGGGATATGGCATCGGCATGCCGCTGGGTAAGGAAATATTGTTTGGCTATGCATTAAGATTTATTTCCCTATGAGGACATGTAGACTAGGAGTGTTATGTGATTTTGTACCGTGATAGTTCTCATTAAATATATTCTTCAACGTCCCTATTATAATAGGGATATTTTTGAGATTGATATCCCAGTTTTAAATTAAGAAAAGTACAGAATCCAAAAAATGTGAACACACCCCAAAGATTTTTAAATCATTTTTTTAATTTCCTTGGGGCAAATTGAAGGTTCGAAGCATAGAGCAGTCAGTGTAGAGCTCTTTTTGGGCACAAAGTAAACTAGAGCTTACCGGTAGAGTCATGCTCTACTCCTCCACTCCTCCATATTTAAAATTGCATTCTTAGTTTTGTTTCCTTCCCTAATTTAAAGCATTCCCTGAAAGGAATTGAATATATCAGAGACCATTTCCTTATTCAGAACATGAATAACTCTCAATATTTGCAAAATAAAAACAATGCAGTAAAAAATACTAATATTTAATTTAAAACGTTTTTCATTAATCTAAAAACATATTTAAAAATATATAGATAGTAGCCCCAAAAAATTGAGTTTTGATGAAGGCTTGCTTTTAATGTTCTCTATGTGTTTAAGCTTGAATTGTTTTGCTTATATCTCTTAAAGCTGAAGTCTGTAAGTTTTTAAAAATCACTTTTTTGTCATATTGGCTAAAACTGTCCCTATGCCCAGACAGCAGTACATGTGATATGTAACCTGTGAAAAAAACTGCTTCAATTGGTACCGCCTACTGCCTGTATTTCAATCTGGAAAGAATAATTCGGGACGAGTCAAAACAACCAATCACAGCCAGAGGAGCGTCTGATGGAGTGTCAATCACAGCTCACACACGCTGAATCCCGCCCCCCCCCCCCGCCCTCGAATGCGGTAGCCGCGCAGATGCTGTGAGAGGGGTGGAGCTTGGAGGTGGGGCATGAGTGAAGCAGAGAGGGTGGGGGAGTGGCATGAAACCTGTTTTTCTTCAAATTTTCAGTCGAAGTCTGCTCTCTTCTCAATGTTACAGACTGCAGCTTTAAGGCTCTTTAGGTATTCCATGCATTTTTGTATTCAGTTATGCCATCTTCTGTCTTTATGTGACTTTACCTATTGACAAAAGTATGGTTCTGAAAACATTCCAAGTATAAGAACAAGGTCACTTCTTATTCACATATTATCAACAGATCACACCAACAGCAACACCAAACCAGCGCAAACTTTTAGGTCACTAGTGCATCTTCTCTACCTTAAACGGTCTTAATTAGGTTCTAATTTTATTTTATATTTATTTTCTTGTAGTACTAGCAAAACAAAACTGTTTTTCTGAAGCATGTACATTATATTTAGCCAGATATGTTCAAATATTGTTTTCTTTTTTTTTTTCTAATGGAATAGATATTTGTTATGAAAGGATTAATTGCCAAGTCTGCTTCGGCCTTTAATCAACCCAAATTATTTCTGTATCTGTTCTTTTTGGCCAATTAAATCCATGCTAATTTCAATTAAACTTTGGTTGGTTCTGCCAGAGTCCTGTCTGACCTAGCCATGTGTCTGACACTTGTTCCTAAAGATAAGTGTTGATGCATAGATATAAACAAGCCATGGAATAAATACTGTAGGAACAGATGCAGGCAGAGTGGAGGGAACCGTGGGAAAACCAACAAAGGGAAAAAAGAGATTCAGAAGACTGGGCTGTCAGTCAACCTGCATGCTAAGCAGTGAAAACATAAGCAGCATGATCTCTTGTGGGCCCCAGATGGAACTCGTCTCTGACTGACAGCGAGCAATTACCATCGGCTTAAGGAAACAGAAAGAAAAGTCAGATGGGATTTTATATTCTTTAATGCTTTTTGTCATTATCAGCATTAGTGTAACTATGGTGAAGAAGGTTTTTGAGACAATTTATCATGAAAGACAAAGAGGAAGCATCAGCTGGAGAAGTGAAATAAAGTGACTGTAAATAATTGCATGCACCAGAGAGCACAGTGTACAAAGATTTATACAGAGAATTTTATATTTAAACATTTTTGTAGTTTTAAAAGACAAGAGAAGGATTTTACCGTTTTTTCTTTACTACTCAATCCTGACTTGGCAGAAAATTTTAAATAAATACGTTTGAGTCTGGATGTAAGTAATATATAATATGCTGTTGTTGTTCATATGCAATGTTAATTTAAGGCAACACATGTCACCTGACCTATAATTTCACAATTTTTTTTTCTATTATTATTTTTACAGAGAAGTTCTTTCGAAAATAATCAAATCACTCTCTAATAAAAAAGTTAAATAAAAACCTAGACAGTTAGTTTAAAATTTATCGAAGGATTTATCTTTAAAATTTATCTTTAAAAGCATGTTTCTTGTGCTTGTTTCTCACCAAGCAAGTAAGATGAACTCAAACTGAGCTAATTCCTCTGCAATGTGTCAAACATTTTTTGTTAAGAGCGAGCTGTGATAACTTAGTAATGTGTAAATTAGTATCTAATATGTAAATTATATAATGTGTAGATGGATTAAATAGTTCATTGAACAGTTTCGATGATTTATACATTTTAATAATATGGGGATCTTGAAATTATCTAATGTCATTCATTTTTCCGAAAACTTGCCCAGCAATATTTTTTTTACCATAATAAAAAAAAGTAATTTTTTGAGAAGAGAAAACTTCAGTCTCTAAAGAAAAAAAAAAGCTTACAAAGAGTAGGATTAATATTCCTGTTGATCTTCTATGACCTCCTTTCACCCCATAGACTCTCTTACAAACCCTACATCTGTCTCAAAATTGCACTATCTACACTGTCTTGAAACAGTTGTCTACTAATTACATTTTCCTCCCAAATCAATAAATGTCGAGAGAAAAGAAAGGGAGGAACTGCAGTTCCTGCTACTTTATTGAATAAAGGAGTTTGGACCAAGAATTTTGTGTAATATGTTTATAATAAAAACAAAAATCATTAACAAGGAGAAAATAAAGACTAAATCAGATTAATGCTAGATTATATTGCCCTTTATGAACCGTTTATGTGTGAAGAAATTAACAAGAACGAAAAAAAAATTGATAGCTTTAATACCGTTTACATAAAATTTATGTAATAAACAATATTTAAAGTAAATCTGTTTTTAAATCAATCCAAAAATGCACTGGCAGCTAGTGCAGAGAGGCTGCAATAGGGGAAATTAGTTTAAATGTTGTTGTAACTGTTAGGAGATGTGCAGCAGCAGTGTGTACTCTCTAAAGCTGGGAAATTCACAAACCACTGACTCCTATATCGAGAGTATTACAGTAATCTAGCCAAGTCGTAACAAAGGCACGGATTACGGTTTCAAAATGCTGCTTAGAAAGGACAAGTTTACTTTAGCCAGCCACCTCAAGTGAGAAAAGCTGGATTTTACAACAGCTCTGATGTGAATTTCCACCTTAAGTCAAATTTCAATTTCCTCCTCAAATTTGTAAAGTGACGCCTGATCTAACGGGCTAACCAAACCAACATCAGTCGGGCAATTGTCACTGGGACTGTCAAACATCACCACCTCTGTCTTTTCCTCAGTAAGTTTTAAGAAATGTCGGGAATATTCAGGCTTTCACATCTTCATCCATATGAAAAGAGCCAGAAGAAGAGGGGGGAGCCTGTTGTCTTTAACGGGACATAAATCTGTGTGTCGTCCACATACGTAACAATAAAAAGAAATCATTTTTAAATAAAGAACAAAGAGGGAGGAGGTACAACATGAAGATGAGAAGGTCCATAAATGAACCCTGTCTCTTGATCTGAGTATGGCTGGTCTTAGCCGAGGCTGGTGAGGCTAGAGACATTAAGGGCTAGGTCTGATTATTAACTTGGATTGTGGGTTGTGTCTGAGCGTGGCACTCTGCAGTGAATCCTTGCCCCTGGTGTTAAGTCAGGCTGCCGATCAGCTCTTTCCGCCAGGTGGGAGCTGTGTTCTCTGTTGCCTCTGCACACCCTGGCTGGCCTCACTTTGTCTAAGGCCGTTGATCACTCTGAATCCAGTATGCATCCAGACCATGTTATATTTAAGGATGACTTTGCTTATGAACTTCCAACTCTAAGAGATAAGAGGTTAGCCTGAAGTTGCTTTGTGAGCAGGAAAAAGAGTACAGCTACAAGAGATGGGACACCCTGAAAAGTAGATAATCACAGACAAGTTACTTTGTCCTGTTGTTAACACCTTCAAAGAGACAAAAGTTGACATAACCGCACAGAAATATGCGATTAAGCGAGAATCTATAGGAGCATAAAGCAAACTACAAGCACAGAGGAGCCTGCACTCATGGTTGTGATATATTTGGGGCCTCACAGTACTAAATCTGCACCCACATAAAAATGTGTATGGATAGTAGTTAATATGTGAATGTTTTGAATAAAACTGCTCACATAAGTATTTATTACATATGTGGACTTTTGGCATGATTCTGACATGATAGGTTGAGGTCTTAATTGTTACAGTTATGATAAATACAAAGCTACAACTATAGCCAAATGTAGCTCTGAATAACATTGTGTCTTCTTGATAGGCTTTTCTTTTGATGTTTGTTTAGATGTATTTACTGCATGTTCATGGGATACTCCCTCTTTTGCTGTGGTTGGTGTGTTTTACCTTTTTTTTTCCCTCTTGTTTCTTGCAAGTGAAGGGAAGACTTCTAGAAATTGTTCTGTATTTTATATTTTTCTGCTTTTTTCTCTTCCCGTATTGCTTATTTTCAGTCCCTTTCTCACTTTCCTTTCTACATGTTGATTACATATAACTGTTTGTCCCCCAAAGCCAGTTCTCATAAAATTGTATACATAATTCAAGCGGAACCTTACAGCAACTACCATAATAGTCGAATTATGAAAGCAAATCTGCTGGGTTATTATCCAGCACAGGGACATCAATTATCAGAGCTCTGTTCACAAATTTTCTTTATAGAAAGGTAAGACAGTGAAAATATATCTGAAGCCTTAAACTACTCATAGATCATCTCTCTGTCACTGCTTCAAAACAGATTTGGAGTATGGAAAATTGGCATCTAAACTGAAAAGAATGGAACGTAGAGTATTAACCAGGAAATCTGATATATGTGTGGCAGATCAAATATAAAACTTTATATACCCCTGACTGCATTCTGAGGTGGCAGCATCATGATGTTGTAATTATTTTAACAGCATTCCCAGTAGGACAAGTCAGAGTTGATATGAGGTTGGATGGGATAACTGCAGGCTATTTACTATTTCTTTAATTTTAATTTCAATAAAAATGAAGTATACTGATTTATCTGTTACTTCATGTTAACCTGTATGAATCTCTTCTCTTCAGACAATAATATTGAGTTACAATAACACCTATGGTTGCATGTAAAGAAGTTAAAAGGTTATGAAAGCTTATGTAATACATTATAATGTCAGGACTTTATGACTCGTGCAATTTAACCTGTAGAAGTTTGTTGAAAAGATTGATAAACATAGTTCAGCCCGAAAGCAGATTAGCCTGATGGTCTACATGTTTCACAAATGCAACAAACCTGAAAAAAAAAAGTTTGGATTATGTAACAAAATTCACTACAGTGGTTAGTTTTCTGTAATTAACACATCATTGTGCTTTTTATTACCATCAGGCTCTCCTTACAGAGATGAAATCACTCTGGGGATCTTGCAGCTGCAGGAAAGCAACAGGCTGGAGATTCTAAAGAGACGCTGGTGGGAAGGAGGACAGTGTCCTAAAGAGGAGGATCACCGGGCTAAAGGTTGGATCAGCAGAGCACAGCCTTTACTTTAAACATCCAATTCTTGTATTATTAGATAAATGTAGTAGATCTTCACATGGTTACTATTTTTATTTTTGTGTCTTGTCTTATATAGACCCTTGATTTTAAATCAGAGGATTTTTATTTGGCATTCAAACAAATCTCTAAATTCTCATTGAAACCATTGGAAAATATTCAGTTTTATAACATTTAAACTGCAACTCAAACCTTTCAGAAATTACACTGATCATGAAAATTTCTGCTTAATTAGCCTTCTTTTGACTGACTTACTAATTGAACTGCAGTCACACATGAGCACTGTTCATTTCCATGTTATCAAAGCTGTCATTGATTGACAAATCAATAGATTAGTCTTTTAAGCACAAGAGGAAATCAGGCAGGCAACCTGAATTAAGGTGCAGTCCTAAACACAAAATACAGCAGACACTTCCCCGTGACAGATGGTGCAGTCGTTAAAAATGTGGAACAATTAGTGTTTTAAGTGATCAGAATGTATCCTTGTTACAGCGAAAGCAACGCTTTGCAGGGAGATGGATACCGCCAGATGTTCTAGAGAGAAATGTAGCTGTGTGTTAGTTTTTTCTGAGGGAACTCTTGTCATTTGGAAGGTAGTCTGTGAGATGTTTCATGCAGTTAAATGCATCAAAAACAGACAGAGCTAATGTGGTGAGGAGGGTAAAAAAATTTAAACTTTCTCTATTATGTTAACATTCCTTAGCAACTCACATTTCATATGTCCAAATTATATATCATAATTTTTTTTTTTATGTAAACTGTTTGCTTGCCTGTTTGTAGCACCTTTTCACCTAAACATATTCTTCATGAGTGTAAAACAGTCCTTGTGAATAAAGCTTTTTCTGATTCTGATTAATATAAAGACTTGGGTTCAAGTGTGTGACATGGGTGTTAAGATGCAGCTGATAAAAGAGAAAACATATTAGACTGAATTTTGAACATGGATCGTCCTGACAGACATTCTTGTGCACAGAACTTGTGCAAAACTGCACATAAAAAACCTAAACAAACACTTGGGGCACATGACCTTTAATTTCTATAAGTTATCTGAAAACATTTCTCTTTCCATGGCTGCAGCATCAGTCATAGGGAATTAGTGCCCCCTGTGGGAAGGTCAGGGTATAAAGTTTAGGAAGTTTAGGAAAATAGAACAAACCACAGTAAAGAGAAGTTTGGTGACAATACAGCATATTACATCTTCAGGTTTTTTAAGAAGTCCAGACAGCATCTGAACATCATACTTTAAAATCTTACTTCTAACAGTCTTCTGAACTCATCTGCACTATAAAGAAATATCATGAACACAATTTGGAGGACTATATTTGTGGAGACATGACATTCGCAGTACTTTTTTGAATTCAGGAACACTCCAAGTGGCTACATGCTTGGAAAACACAATATAAAAATTAGAATATCCTCAGAAATATAAAAATAAGAAGAATTTTATTTTGCAATCTAATCTTTGTTAGGGGTTGTGTACTTAACTATTTATAAAGAAACACTTGCTCGGACATTTTAAAAGTCATCAACATCATTTATTCCCAATGGAAAAAAAAATATTAAAAACCTAATTAGAAAAAAAAGACGCTATGCACAAAATTTACTTTAAAGTAATTGCTAGGGTTGTCAAAATGTATTAGAGTAAGGATTTTGCTACAATCAAATTGTTTCCAAAAAAGTATTTTCATTATTTTATTAAATTAATTCACTCAAATGAAGCATTTCTTTTTCCTTTATTTGAATTTGCTATTGAAAAAATAGATTTATCTTAAGGATTTGTCAGATCTTTTTCAGGAGAAATAAAAAGTCAAAATCAAATACAACCCAGTATTCTATTAATTTACTTCCTGCATTTTGTTTGGCATTTATCGATTGTGAAGACTGAAATTTTCCACAGCATCTCAATAAACTCATTCTCTCACATCTCTCTGAGGGAAAACAACATGGTTTATCTTCATTGACTTTTCCCCTCTGATCATGGCTTCGGCAGCCAATCTTAATGGAATCATGAGTGCATGAGCACATCATCGATCCTTAGCTCTCTGTCATCTGTTTGTGTAGCTTTCTTTATTTCCAAAACAGGAAAACAATGTCACCTTGATAATAATCCAAATATGTGCTTTATATATATATATATATATATATATATATATATATATATATATATATATATATATATATATATATATATATATATATATATATATATATATATATATATATAAATCTGCCATTGACTTTTCAAGTAAAGTCTGACAAAATTAAGGAAATAAATTTTCATTTAGACCGATCAGGTGTTGCTTTGTTTTTGATTACACAGTGAGCAGAATGTGTGTCTCTCTCCATCTGTGCTTTGAAAGAGTGAAAACTGCTGTCAGGTAAAATCTCTGAATAAAAGTAGAACATATTTTTTCCAATATTCTGTGGTGAGCTTCAGTGACAGGCTCAAGGATATGAACTTAGGCAAATAGTTGATACAGATATGTAAAAAGTTTGGGTGTCTTTCTTTTCTTTTTGTACTGTTTCATTTATGGCTTTGACGTCAAGCCAAACAGTTTTTAGAACTCATGACCCGCAGTTAGTATTATTATTATACCTGCCAATTTGATGACTCTGGGTAGTCAGATAGTATCTGAGAGAACAGATTTGCAATTTCTGTTTTTGACCCATTTTGGATGCCACTGCATGTCTTTAAAAAAGCTTTTAAGTGCTGTCACACAGTCCTTTATACAGGTTGAGAGGTACTGATTCCACCATCCTACACCTGCAGAAGACTAAGTGGTGGTTTTCAAGGACAGAACTCACATATCCCTCTTGACGAGTTGAGCAAAGAAATTGCTGCTGTCAGATCCACAAAAGGTAGCCATACTGCGCATAAAAAGCAACCTGTCAATTTGTGAGCAAGTAAAAAACTGTGTAGGACTTGACTATCTTAATAGTTATTTAGGGGTGTGAGTAGTGGTGGTGATAAAGTCAATATAAGGTTTACTCAGTATATAAGGAGGAAAACCACATCACGTAGTTTAAGGTAGCATGTGTTGGAGTGTGATGTTGTCAGGTATTGAATGCTTCAGTAAACCCTACTGGCAGGATAGTGGCATCTAAATCCTATAGCCCTGGGGTGTACAGGCTGCCCTCGGGTCATTTCTGGCAATCTCAATTATTTTGTTTGGCAACTGATGGCGGTTAAAGAATGACACAAAAGTACCCAAAAATACAGGTGGCTAAGGTAGATGGAGAATGCAGCACATATGATTATAGATATCCTTAAAATGCTAAAAATAACAGGTACAACAAAAAGTGTCAAAAAGACCATGTAAAGAGAATTTCACTTTTTTTTTTCTTTACACTTTCTGTCAAAAATGTATTGTTCTACACCAGGCCTGCCCAAAGTTGATCCTCAAGAGCCGCAGTCCGGAAGGTTTTAGAGGTTTCCCTGCTTCAATACAATTGATTGTGATGATTGCAGTTCCGCAAAAGGCTGTTAATCAGCTATCAATGAATATCAGCCGTGTTGAAGCAGGGAAACCTGCAGGATCACGGCCCTCAAAGACAGACTTTGTGCATGCCTGTTTGATGTGTTTAAAAAGTCTTCAAACCTTTTTATATTGCAATATGGCACTAGAATTAAAATTTGGTTTCAATATTGTTGTTGCTTAGTAATTTGTTGCTTTAATTAGCACCTTTTCAGAAACGTTACCTTTTAATAGAGACCAGCAACAAATCTATCAAATCTTATTTGGTCTTGGAGACTTTGGTGACAACACATGACAAAAGTGGTTAAAGTTTGGCTCTACTGATAAAAAAGTAATTAGCCAATAGATTTATAAATAAGGCACAGGGTGTGCCTGCAGCCTCTGGTGTCTGTTCTGCTCTCACCTTCATTCACTCTGCTATCTTGTTTGATCAACGGATCGAGTCTTTGAATGAGGCATTGCTCACCCTTTCTGTGTTTTTATCTTCAGTATAAAAGTTCTGGATTTTTTTTTTTTGTCTGATGCTGAAGCTGTCAATAGTCACTGCGGCCACTCTCTGGTTTAGGGGGAATTGCTTGTTCCGTCAAATAATTAAATGCATCCGGATTATGATGTGGATCATCTACATCTTTGTTACATCTTTGGTAAAAATTTAATCAAAACCCCTTCATAACTTTTCAATTTATCCTGTACACAGACGGACGGAAAGACAACCGAACAAACCGACATGCAAACTCGACTAATAACAGCCTCATTTGCGGAGGTCATAAAACCAAATTACAGTTTACACATCCTTTCACAGAAAAAATATGTATATTTCTGGTGATATGTTTTTCCTGTAATGACTATCATAAGTGGGGTAGTGGTCAGAATTCAACCAAAACACTCTCGACTGAGAAGTAAGTAGGTGGAAGTTTCATGTTAGGGGCCATGTTTGCAACAAGGGCGACTGAAGCACTGTAGACAGATGATCACATCATGAGAAAAGATTGTATTGACATACTGAACCAACATCTCAAGACATCAGCTAAAGCCCCGTCACACCTTGACGATTTAGCCAGCGTATGTCTGACATTTTTTTTCATTTTTGGTGTATGCATAGAGTATTCATAACAAGTCCAGAACTTATGTCTAATGACAGCCTAACTTATGCATAACACACAGCAGGGTAATGCCCATGATATGTTATAAGCCAGTGTCCTGAGGGGGCAGCAATGCTCCTGGAGGTACCTGGTCTGCATAAAAAGATATTTTTTGATCCTGGTATTAACCTAGCTGCTGTTTACTGCCCACCAATAGAGAAAAAGAAAGAGAAAGAGGGTTTGCAGTCGCAGCAGATTCAGCGTAATGTCTGCTAGGAAGTTTGTTGGTCGTGGGCGTGAACGCAGGGAGGCTCCATCACACTCACCTTCATGCTTACCCTACATCTGGAACAGTGAAATTGATGAGATCATGCTGATGTTGGAGGACAGATAGTATGTATTCCCACCTCAGCCTTGCTGGATCCTCCATCTGTGTTGGAGCGTCTGAAGTCTGGAGGAGTATTGACAATTTCCTCCTGTGAACGCCCTTTTATACCAAAACACTGCCAATAAGCTGTAGCTATAAGTTAGAAACACGTTCAGCGGTCGTTGGGAACACGTTAAATGAGTTGATATGGGTTGGAGATATGTTCTTGGTAAGTTATCCATAAGTTATGCACAAGTTACTCATAGGTTTTGGATACAGTAAGGCTAGATACCATGACTTATGAGTAACTTAGATTTAACGTATGTCAACAATCAAATATCTTACCTGTAACTTATGGACCACATATGAGCATACTCTGGCATACGTTTGTGACATACTTGCCGTATGTCGACATGCCAGCGTGCTTCAGCATGCTCACAACTTATACAAAACTGACCCATAACTTATGCTACTTACAGTACAGCATCGTTTTTGCCAGATTCAGGCATGTGCTGGCTTAAACTAGGGAACAACTGGGTCTTTTAAACTGACATGACCATAAGTATGATGTCATATTAGTTAAAGTTTTGTCTGATTTAAGGGAAAATATTTTCAAGGTGCATTGACATATGAAGTTTCACTTGTGTGTATAATTAATGTCCAAATACAAAGGATTTGAAAAGATAACACGCAACTCTATTTATAAAGTAAAACTTCAAAGCAATGATAGAGTGAAAAAAGTGTTAAACTCTGAATCTTTGAAAATAGGACCTTTGCTGAGGAAAAAAATGGACAAAAGAAATAAATGGAAAAGTACCACAATATTATTTTCTGACAGTACTAACCAGGCTTAAAAAAACACTGCTTCCAGCAAGAAAGGAGCAGTACAATCCCTTCTCTCTGTAAAGGGATTAAAGACACCAAACTTGAATCACTGAGGAGAAAGCAAAGAAAAAAGGAACATAAAGCAGCCTTCATTCTGTAAAATCTCCTCTGGCAGCTTTTCTCCTGAGTTTTCAATTCACTTTCTGACATGAACTACATTCAGAAACAGGACCTCACAGCATTAAAACAATGTCCCGATAGAACCTAAAGACACATCCCAGAAGATTTTCAAGAATGAGCTATTTTTTTTTTTTTTTTAAGTTTTTCCTACTCTGGAAGACATTAAACACAGTAAAACAGGGTTTTAAAAAAGTATTTATCCCTTCAAATATTTTTTTTTAAGAACAGATACAACTTGGCTCACTTAAAAAGTTTTTAACCAGTTAATTTTATATGTTCTTTTTTAAATATTGTTTACAACATCTCCATACAATTACAGGAATTATCTAAATTTATATTTTTAGCAAATATTGTGTTTATAAGCTGATGCCACTGAGTTAAACTAAAGTTGTAGCCCTTTCAAAAACATCATTTTGGGGGGATTATTTGGCAATTTAGAGTTGAAATGTCCTTCAGACTATTTATTTGTTCTCTAACTGCAGTTTTCTTTAGCTTAAGGTATTGAGTCGATGGCTTGACATTTTCCTTTATGATTTTTTTAATAGAGCAAAATCATGATTCAAATTATGGCTGTCACTACCCAATGACTACTATCAGCTCATTTGCACATGAACAACCAGTTATGAATTCGGGTCGCTCTCTATTTTATTTTGTCAAAAAGACCTAAGTAACATTTTTCCTCCCCAAAATTAGTAACTGTTCAAGACTTTAATTTGCTATAGGTTATTGATGTATTTCCTGAGAAAATAAATGCCTCGGGTCCTAAGGCAGCGAATGTTCAAGACCATGACACTGTTGTGTTCTTCCTTTAAAGGAATTTTTTTTTGCCCCATTGAAATATATTTCTCACAGTCTCTTAAAGGTAAACCATATATAGCTTAGCTAAGTCAAATTAGGCCTGAGATGTTTTTTGATCCTTTTGTTGTCAATAATGGCTCTCACTGTGGTTTGCTTAAGTCCCAAAACCCTAAACAGATGCTCTGTAAGCCAGACATTAATCAGGTGTAGATGTGGAATTTGAAATTGAAGAGGATGGTGATTTTTTTTTATAATGGGCAAGTATAGTATGAATAGCTTTTTTTTTTCTTCTTTTTTTTATAATTCAAATCAACATTTGAGAAACGTTTCTGACATTCATTTGAGTTATCCTCATATTTAATCAAAAATCTGAGGATCAGAAATATGTGCTTGTTATACAAAAACAGTAAGGTAGCATTTATATATATATATATATATATATATATATATATATATATATATATATATATATATATATATATATATATATATATGTATATATATAAAATTACACTGTCAAAGAAGAAAGCTGCTTTAAAGACACAGCTGCAGTCTTCGATGGTTTCTTTTATTTATTTAAACTGGGCATTTGAATAAAAGTTTCTCCTCGGAATAGTTGACCCAATCACATCTTGTAGGAGCCTAGAAACAGGAAGTGCCAATACAGATGAGTGCTCCATCTGATCTTACAGTGGAGCCAAGTGGCAGGAAGCTGTCCTTCCACCTGTTACAGCCCCTGACATTTTAAGACTGTACAGGCTTGATTTCTTATGCAGGTTCAGCTCTGACAGAAATATTCCTTCTTGGCTGTCTGAGGGCTGCAGAGGAGCAGAGACATGATTGGACCCACCTGGCCCACCTGCACCATATAAGAGAATCCTGGAAAGCATTCAGTGTGGGGACAGCTAGTAGGAAGAGGCTTTGTTAAGCTGTTCCCCTACCTTTGTTGTCAAACTCTTTTGGGCAGTTAGACGTCTTTAAACCAGCTTGTTGTATATTTTTCTGAGCTAGCTTTAGGTGGACTTCAAGCTAGAAGCTTGTGTTGGGGAGGTTTGGTGCTCCATTTGTATTTTCTCTTGGGTTGTTTTGAGTTAAACTTAGACTGACTGGTTTGAACATTTTGTGGTTTAATTTGCACTTCACCATTCTTGAATTTGTTTGCCCTTTTCTTTTGTTTTGGCTTAAGCTGTATTGTGTTTTGGGTCTGTTTAACCATCTTTTTTAAAAAATAATTTTACATTCCACTTATTTGCTCTGGACACATTCCTATGTTACCTCCCCAGAACCCCTAGACCTTGGGGGTGTAAAAAAGCTGTAAAAAAAAAAAAAGAAAAAAAGCTGACAATACAACATTAGTGAATATGGAGAAACTGAAAAGCTTTCTTGGTCTCTCTGTCTTCAAATACCTCTTTAAAGTTTCTTAATAAGATAAAAGTTGGTGAATGAATGTGAGACAAAAATCAAGTTTTAAGTCAAAGGAAATTTGAGGTCTTTACCAGCCATTAGAATCGGTGCATCAACAAAATCATTGTTTAATTGTTTGTTACAAAGGTGTTGATTATCACAACTAAGAATCCTTTTGTCCCTTTGTTTTTTTTTTATAGGCCTCGGCATGGAGAATATTGGTGGGATCTTTGTAGTCTTGATTTGTGGCCTCATTGTAGCTGTGTTCGTGGCCATCATGGAGTTTGTTTGGTCAACCCGTCGCACAGCTGAGACAGGCGAGGTAAAACTAAATCCTCATCCTCCTCTTCCATTGTCCTTCTACTACCCCTTTCCTGAACTTTAAGCAATGTTTTTGTCCCAATAGCTGCATACATGCCTTACAGTATGACTCTGCAAAGAAAAAAACTCATCTATACATTTGTGAACTTTGTCACATGGCTGGCTTCTAATAAAATGGTTATAAAATAAACAAATCAGTCTGATGTCTTTTTATTTGTTTACTTTTTAACATTACAAATTGTGATAAATGGTTAGGGATGTATTTAATTTTTATGCTCAACTAATCTGCAACAAACCCTCAAACATAGCAAGAGGGCTAAAATCCTGAGTTAAATCTAATTTTTTAAGGGATTCATTAAATTAATTAATCAAGACATTTAAATTTCCACAAGCTAGTTTTCTTTCCAATCCTATAAAATTTCCCACTATATGCTTTTATTTATTTTTCTTCTATCTTTTTTGTCATTTAAAGCCCTTCAAATTGTCATAAAACTGAAATGTGCTATACAAATGGCCTTGCCTGTGTTGGGCAAACAGGGGCATTTATTTAAATGAGAACGTCACATCAAATGTGTGCAGCTTTAGAAATGAACAGAAACTTAAACTATGTTAAACAGTAAACATGGAGCAAAGCTGCGGAGTGCTGATAAACTTCTGTTCTCTTAAACTTAAAAGAAGGCATGAACATGAATATCCTGATGAGTCAGGCCACATTATACATTCTTTTCCTAAAACAAGAAAATGGCGTTTGTTTGCAAATGTACACACAGCTACCCAGGTGCCAGACTATTTACAGCCACTATTTTCACGCAGACACAAACTACTTCTAAGAAAATATTCTATAACCACCTACACCCTCAAACACAAAGGCACAATGGTAAAAATGATGCATGATACACTATTGTAGCAAGGTAGACATAGGTAAAGAAAATAACTGTTCCAGTTAAAGAATGAACAGGAGCAGAGGATATCCAAATCAGAAGCTTTTATCTCCAATATTAATTCCAGTCAGTTAAGAATTTGCTTCTGCCAATACAGATCCTCTGTGACATAATAAAGTAGCTCCAGTTTAAAACTGGGGTCAGGTTAGCAAAGTCAGTCAAGTAGCTACTGATGTTACTGAAATGATAGCATCCAGGGCTAAATGAATGGAATTGAACAATATACGTAATAAATATGAATCAATTCATATGATTTTTAAATATACGCATACAACTAGCATATGGCACAGCTGTTATGGTAATCAGTTTTCTGAAATTGTAAAACGCTGTCTAAATTATTTTAACCCTTGGATTAGACCTTCTGTTGTTCTTTCAACTAAGGTAGAAATCACTTTATAAATGTCACCTTTTGTAAGAAGCCATTTACCGGATATACGGATTGTTTTTTTATTCATGGAAACCCAGTTAATTGCATCAAGTCACTGACTTTGAAGGGTTCCTCCTTCTGGATGAGCATGTGACAACAGTGGACAGTTTCTTGTAGACTCTTGCATGATCACTCAAAATGAGCATGCATTCAGCAACAGAGGAGAGGAAAAATTCCCTTTTAACAACAGGTGAACCTACAGCAGAATCCGGTTCAGTGTGAGCAGCATTCGGCCAAGGCCGACCAGGGGTTCAAAGAGACAAAGGCAGACACAGAAAAAGAAAATGGAGGGATTGATCCAATAATACTGTCTGTCAGAAAATGTTAAACTTGCTTCGTAAGTGGGTCTGTCTAGAAAAGAAAGTGTAAAGCAGACAAGCTCTTAGCCAGTTTTCATTTCAAAGGCAGATACAGTTAGTCGCAGTGAAAGCTGATCGCATATGTCTAGGACAGAAACAGGACTAAGAAATTTTGATACCAGTACTACAATGTGGTTGAAATTGTTTACATAAATAGTTTGCCACTTTGCCCACTAGCACCCCTAGTGGCCACAAGCGCAGCAGCTCTGATGCAAAAGTCAACAGTCAGCCCGGCCAGCGTCCGTGTCTTTTGATTTGGGACCACACTAGGCGTCACAGTTCAGCTTGGAGTGCGTGAGAAACATTGCTGCTCTCATGAGAGCAGGCCATTGCGGCACGCAGGACCAGCGGCGGAGCTCCAGTAATCCTCACTGGGTTTAACGGGGCGTCTTGGTTAGCTTTTGTCTGCAGCCTGCATGCTTTCTCTGCCCATATTTCGCTTGTACTAAATATCAAACATAATAACGATATATGTGTCACAGTCTTGGTTCTGTTATGTTTTCCTTAAGTATTCAGTTCTACTTTGCTCCATGTTTTCTAGTTTTATTGGTTTAATTCTTATTTTGTTGTGTTTTCTGGTTATTTTTCAGTTTTCCAGTTTTCATTTGTTGCCCTCAGTTGCCCTCTTGTGTTCTCCTTTTTCTCTGACTCCTTTCCTTTCTGTTCTGTTCACACCTGCTCCCAATCCGCTCGTTAGTCTTCTCTTTGTTCAGTCTCCCATAAATACACTCCTTATGCAGTTCCTCAGTGTGGGTTTCCTTGTCTAACTTCCTTCAACACCGTCTCACTGTGTCTTCCTCATCGTAATTATTTTCCCCTGAAGTCTCAATGGTTTCTGGTTTGTTTCACTTTCTTCATGCTGGATGTTTGGATTTTTTGGATTCCTGCCTCGGTTTTCTGTAAACATTTCATTAAATCAACAAGGAACTCACCTCTGCCTCCCTGCATTTGGGTCCTCAAACCACAACCAAATCTTGACAATATGACTATATACTAGGAGCAAAATGTTAACTAACATTGATAAAGTGGAGGAAAAATTATTACTTTAGCCATATTGTATTATGTGCAGTTACCCCCTAGAAATGTTTTTTTTTTTAACTTTGCCCTATGGTGTTTCATAATAAGAAAACTTGGTTAAACATCTATACTATTATGACAACAAAAGGTTTTTCTTTGTTTATGAAGATGATGTAAGACAATATTTTACCTTTAGTCTTCAATTAACTCACATCTTGCTCCAGCTAATACTATCCTCATTTGGACCTCTTAGCTAATCTGATTAGCTAACAAAAGAGTGTTATCTTTTGTTGTTATCTTTTGTGTTATCTATTTCTTTTATCTCTATGTATTTCTTTTTTAATGCTTTTTGAAATGCTTTTTTGTAGCACTTTGAGGCCTTTTTGGTGAAAAGTGCATTATAAATTAAATGAATAATTATTATTATTATCTCATTGTTTTGATATGGCTTGTTGATTACCAGATTTGTAATTTTCCTCTTTTTAGTTCATCGAGAATGTGGGGGAAAAGTAGAGTAAAAATAAAATGTTATTAAAAAGTTACCACTTTCATTCAAATACTATGAAATGATTTATAGTATTTGAGAAAGTATTACTGATATTTGACACACAAATAGAGCATTAGATTGTTTTCCTCTCACTATGAATATTATTTGAAGTAAAACTATATTGCTGTTCAACCAAAAAATATGGTGTTGACAGAACACTACATTTCCGGAACCTGTTATCATGACACTACTCAATGTCAAGGTTTTAAAAATTGGCCATACAACCTGAGATTGGAGGATTTGCTGGTTTTATGACAACATCTCAAAGAGCTACAGCAACAGGAGGGGCTGGAAGCTGGGCTTCTTCAGGGACTGAGACTTAATTTATTTAGAAGAGCTTTGATTAGGAGCCCAAGTGAAAACTTGGAATTAGATCAGCACATTTTTGGCTTGCTATTAGCGTACTCAAGCAGCCAAAGAAACTGTGTACTGTTATAGATTATCAAGATTTTAAAGAAAAAACATTTCCTTAAATTCTTCGTTAATGTAGATGTATTTACAAGAAGGGGGGAAAAAAAGAAAATGAAATAGTAAATAAGACTTTTCTCACATAATATCCTCTGTTCACTTGTTTGTTCTCTGTATGCTCAGTTTGTTGTTTTGACTTATATTCTCTTCTTATCTTTTATCAGTTTGACTTTATAGTTTGGATGTTTTTAGCTTAGAGACTTGCATCCACACAGACCTATGACCGGATAACCTTGGTTGTATAGGGATTCAGAGAAAGCTGCTGAGCGTTTATAGACACAATCATTGGGAAAATGTGTTAATAACCTGTTCTTGCCTTTTCTCTTTCAGACTTGAATGTAAATTTTTTAGCTTCAGACCATTTTATTTATTTTTTTTGAGAACAGTGACTGTGAATGTTGATAAGAATAAATGCTTTCTCTTACACCAATGTGCATCTCTGAAAACTAGTATTAAAATTTTGTTCTTAAAAATACATTTTAAGAGTTACCTGTCTTTGTCCTTCATCTTTATTTATCTTCTTTTTGTCTCTCAGGTCTCTGTTTGTCAGGAGATGCTGACAGAGTTTCGAAATGCTGTTTCTTGTAAGAAAAGTTCCCGGGCTCGTCGGCGACGCCCTCTCAGCAGTGCTGGGGGCGGAGTTCTGCGCCATCCTTCCCGGCTAGCTCTAGCTGGGCCTAGACCAATTCGGCTAGTAAGGGAGATGCGTCTCAGTAACGGAAAACTCTACAGTGGTGCCGGCCCACTGACAGGGGGTTTGGCCGGGCTGGGGGGAGGTATGGCAGCAGGACCTGATTTGGGCCCCGGGCCACAGAGGCTCTTGGATGATCCACTTGGTGCCAACTCTGCCACCAATACACCTCCTCCGCCACCTCCTGTGTCATCATTTGAGGCTCCGCCTGCCCCACCTCGCACCTTCCTCCAGAGCTGCAGCCACGTGCGCATCTGCCAGGAGTGCCGGCGGATCCAAAGCTTGCGACCGGCCGCACTCACGCCTCCCCCACCTCCTCCACCTTCTTCATCCTCCTCCGCCTCGTCCTGCTCCCGTATCCCTCCTTTGGCAATGTCAGGACATCAACATCGTCATAATCCGCACCACCACCTCCACTACCATCATGGCTCCATGTCATTACCCCGCCTTCCTCCTCCTCCTCCCCCAATCTCAACAGACAGAGCCGATAGTGATGGGGGAACAGCAAGTCCACAGCGGGGGAAAAACAGACCGGCCCCTCCTCCCAGGCCGCTGCCGCCTCCCAAAACACCAACACTCCCACCAACAAATTATCTCGGGGGTCACGATTGTGCTTAAATATCCCAAACTTGGGCTCAAAAGATACAGACTGCACATCAACAACTTTTCTTTTGATCCCAGCAACACAGCTATACCTGTCCAAACTCCTGAGGAGTTGGATAGAAGAAACTACTTTGACTCGTTTGAAGGGATTGGATCCCTCAAAAAGTAGTCAGTTCGGCTCAGCTGACACTATAAACCTTTAAACAGGGATGGTTGAGTCTAAACCCTCATTCCTGGTAGCAGGGAGAATTTAAAGAGTCTTATATGGATTTAGCAACTTTCTGTAGTTGCTGATGATGGACAAATGCAGCGTTAGCAGGCAACTTCGGATTCAGTCCTCGATCTCTTACCTCGGCTAATTATCCCATTGCAAGAAGAAAATAGAAGATATAAATGGACAGATTTTTGAGAGGATTGTCAGTCAACCAGGACATGATGTCAGAAAGATAAAAAAAAAAATCAAGACAAATTTCACCAGCGCTCTTATGTTTTTGTTTCTTTTTCTTTCAGTTTGAACACTGAACTAGGTGTTTGTACAAGAGGAGACCTTCCTGCAGACACGTAGCAGAGCAGTTGTACAGTAATCATGGTCTTCGGTCACTCTTTTGGATGTTTGTTGAGGATGTAGCTTATTTCCCATACCGTTTTGCTGTTTGTACAGACTCTTGCTGCCTGGTGCTGTGATCCACAACGCAGAAAAAAACAAAACCATCATTACTTGCCTAAGTGTTTAAACTGTGTTGGGGTAGTTCTTCTGTTACACATAAAAACTATCAAGCAAGAAAAAGGCACTGTGAGGCACGTGAAGGTTAAGGGCTGAGAAGCAACTATAGAAGTTTTACATATTTTTGTACAAAAAAAAAAACAAAAAAGAAAAAAACTTTTTTTTTTTAACGATATTTGAGATGTCATGTTACAAAATTCCAGTATGTGGTAACTAACTGCAAAGTAGTGTTTTAGTTCTTTTTTAATAAAATCCTTTTATGGTAAAAATGTAATAACTCAAGACCTTCGCAAACCAAGTCTTGGTTCTTCAGTTCAGGCAGGCACAGAGTCATCATCCACATGAATGTTATCATCTAAAACTAAATCTAAATCAGAGAAAAGGAAAACACTTTATACTATAAACCATAATGTGCTTTTCTTTTGCACATGCATGCCCAGTATTATCAGCCAGACTAGGAGGAACACAGATATGCAGGATTTCACCTTGAAATATTCACATGTGTTTGTCATCTGATAAGTCTTATTTCAGCCTTGTTGAAAAGACCAGGTTAAAATGAAGAACATTTAAAATAGGAAAATAAACCTCCTTGACAACATAGCATTGAAATGTTGCCTTATATTATAAATTTACCACAAAGTTTTGGCTGTTTGTATTTTCAAATTTCTCATATGATGGATTAGAATATTATTTTTAAGCTAATAAGGTTGTTCCTAATATCCAGTGATACTGATGTCATAACACGGATCAGCAGGTATATCTAAAATGCATCTCAAGATGTCTCTTTAACATATATTTTTATACATATTAGGACAGATGTAAATTCATCCATATAAACTTTATAATATCAAGACATTGATTTAAAATTCTTTTATGAGCATGCATGCTAAGATAGGTTAAATTATATTAATGTGAAAATTATTTCAAAATGTTACTGTGAGCAGACCAATGGGGAAATATCTCTTGATTTTATTTTGAAAAATAAATTTTCCACCTTTGAAAAAATATCAGCTCCTCTTCTTTATAATTTCATGTTATCACAAACTGATTAATCAGATGGTGCTCTTTTATTTCTCAGTCTTGGCCCTAGCTTAAGGCTGTTGACTAGACTCTATTAATCGAAAAAAACAAGTTTCCATCCAAGGACTCTTATTTTTCTTAACCTCCTAAAGCCCATTGTTTGCAACAAACTGTTTGTATTATGCAAAAAGCCAAACAATTCTTTCTGATACAACTGGTCCACTATAACTTTTGCAAATCTGCTATATATCTAAATTTATATTCTGCTTTTCATAAATAGAAATTCAAGAATTTCAATTTGGCAACCACTCAAAGCCAAAAAAATCCACAAAAAGTAAGTCAGGCGTCAAGATAGGGGCAATTAGGTAGGCACAGTTTAAAATGTCTGGATACAATTGCATTCTAATGGGAATGCCTTGAGATTGTAGGTACATTCAAACGAAATGTTATTTTATATATTTCAGAAGTAATGTTTTTGAAAGTTTTTCAAAAGGCATTAAATCAGAGTTTTGGAGGATGTTATTGGTTCTTTTTTTATTATTCCACTAAAACATAAACTTGTATGCCTAAAATTAGTTTGGAAAATATTAAACAGAAGTGTTGCTATTTCAGTCCTATACCGCAAGATACAGTATCGTTGTCAGAGTTGTCCCAGTTAGGATGTTGAGTGAACAGCATTTGATTCTAAGTGTGACTGTGTCCTATTTTACTCAGATGCTTTAGATTCTGCTATTCGTCTATAGGCTAACGCTAGCCTGTTTGATCTGTGTATATGGCTAAGGACGTCGACAGGTGCAGACATGCATTAAATGACAAAGTGAGCTGTAAATAACGTGTGATGCAAATTCCAAAACATACAAGCACAAGAAACGCATGCAAAACAACAGTGCTCCAGACCACTAGAGTCAAACAAAGAAGCTCAGTACAAACAGGAATTTAAGCTTTAACACAGGTTGTTAAAAAAGAAACAAAGTTGGAAGAAGAAAGAGGGTTTTTATCTTTTATTTTACTGTCAAACACACAGTCTTACTGTATTACAGAATAACAGCATTATTATGTATAGTAATATAGGTAACACTCTGGGTGATATTTGTTCAACTCCCTCTAGTGGTCAGGAGCAGTTCTGTTTTTTTTAGAAGGAGTTTGTTGCTGTTTTTACAAATTGCTTCTTTTTTTCACTGCAATCACCTCATTTTCTTTTTGCTTTCAGCACATTGTTAGGAGTTGCTGCATTTTTCTTTGCATTTGTTTTGTCAGTTGCAGGTCTTTGCTTCAATTTTAGGTATTGCAGCACCTTTTTTTTCCCGTTGCATGTTTTTTTTTTTTAGTTTGAGTTTTCACCTGTTGGCACGTCATTTCTTTTTTGTTTGCAGCATTTGTCATTTGCATTTTTTTTTGTGCTTGCCTGTTTTAGAGTTTGCATCACACATGTTTTTCCAGCTAATTTAGTCATTTACTGCACATTGGCTCCTGTCAGCCAACATATATGACAGACAGCAATACTGCAATATAGTTAATCTTTAACATTCCCTCTATATATCATTAAGTGGAAAAGACAAGCAGAAAATCAAGGCAATTATGTGCTTTTTCTGCAATGTAATTTTTCAGTGCATGTACATGTTTTACATGTATGTCTACACAGATCACTAACTGTGTGTGACTGGCATCAGTACACTGGAAGTAATCTGACACAGTTATAACTGAATCTCAGCATCTTTAACTGTTAAATTACTGAAGATTGCTAAAGATTTACATTACTGGGTAATACGTGCTACTGTTAAAGTGGATTGGATTATTTTTACATTTTAATCTCTAAAAAGTGTTGCTTGGGCAAAGTTATCCAGGTGATGGCAACCACAAAATAGGCTTAAATCAAATGCAACCCATTTTTTGCTCAGTTTTTCAGAAAATGTCTGTGTTTTCTCACTCTTATCACACTTTTTGTTCAGATAAGCTGAACAAAAGTTGGGCTGTCTCTAATTTAAGCCTGCTCTTTGGTCTAAAGAGGATTCTTTCTTTTGCTGCCTGAGATATAATATGTTCTTTAGCTTGCTCATTTGTATTGATAAGCATAACTATAGATGTAAGGATAGACATTTCAACAATCATTATGATTCTTTTGGTTTTTGCCCCCTTAGAATGGCTGGATTTAGTGCTCCTGAGATTGTCGCTACCATTTGCTAAAGCTTTTAAACATCAGTGTCCAATTGGTAATGCTAATTGGTAATTGGTAATATTCAACATAAATTCTGTTTTTTTTATTTGTGTTATGGATGAAAATGATGCATGTACACTGAAGATTGTGATGTTTCATCATAATGTACAAGTTGAACATGAACATGTACACATACTGTATAAGCAGATTATCAATTATTTATTTATGTTTTTTTTATCATGGTATTGGAGAAAATTCTTGCAACCTAAAAAAAAAATAATAATAATGTTTTACCAATTATGACAATACTGCCCCCTTTCCTTTAACAGAAATGCTTTTAAAAGAAATGTGGTCATTGTATTAAAATTGAAGAACTACCTCAGTGCAGTTCCATCCATTTCAGGTCAGTTTCTTGAGCTCGGAATCTATTTAACTCTAAATTAGGAGTGCAAAATGAAAAAAAAAAAAAAAACACTGAATTTATGATTTTAAAGGATAAAATTGTACTATCTTTGATAATCTGTTTCAAATTAAATAAAACCTCCAACCAAACAAAACAAAAATTTTTGAATGTTGAATAGCACTTCCTCATGTAAAGGGTTACAAATGTGTAACTCTGATCGGAGAAAGTCAGACATCATTTTGAAGACCAATACCTGTAAGTTTTTATTTGTATAATTATTTTGTATATTTTCTTTATCATAAATTTGGATATTGAAGCTGCAGCAAATCTGAAAAATATCAATGAAAACCTAAATGTCACTGAATAAATCTTCAGGTGTGTGTGTGTGTGTGGCTTTGTGTTTAACTTTGTGTATGGCTAACTTTGTGAGGACCAGGGCTAGTTCACATGTTTAAAGTGAATTGGGTTGAAATCATTGTAATGATTTATGTCTTTGCAAATTCAGCCATACAAGTGTGAGCTTTTTAAATTTGACTACGTCTGGATTTAGATTTTTGTTTTTATCCTTCGCAGCAGGATGACAGAGATACATCATTTTGATTATTCTATTGTTATCACAATTATTATCAATATTGATATGTGGAGTGATTCTAGGAGGGGTTCCTCCCTCTGATGTTCAATATATAGAAACTTATTTGGAATTAAAAAAGGTTTTGAAAAAGAAATTGTTTTGAAAATGCTTCTGATTATAAAGGCTTTATTTCTTTGGTTCAGGATTAATTTACAGTGAGCTTCTCATTTATCAGACACTAAGGTGTCAAAGTGTTTGGTAGTATAGAGCAAGTGTCAGTGAAAGTGGCAGACATACAGTATAAGCAGATCATGTCGGTTCCTTCTTGTTCAAAATCAAAATAATTTCACCAGAATTGCCAAATTCTCACAGCTTTAAGTCATAGAAAACGGCTTTACTGAACATTACTTCTCTGCAAAGTACAAATACTTCGATAGCCTTACATAACAACAAATTCTGGCTATTTATACTTTACTGGAGTAATTATTTTTTAGACAATTGTTTAGTTTTTTCTTTTACTCTATAGTTTTTTACAGTTTTCTCTACTTTCTACTCCTTACATTTTAAAAACAGACTCCATAGTTTTGTTTCATTTAAGCTCATTTTCGTCATGGTCATTCATAAAAAAAAAAAAAAAAATAGTTTCATGCAGAGAATTCCTTTCTTTGTGGTTGGATTCTGTGCTGCACCAACGTGTTCTTTGCCACATACCAAAATAAGTAGTTTTTCAAGATGTTGCTAAGTTAAATTTGACACTGTTTCTATTCATTATAAAACAAAAAAATTAATAGTGGAGGATTTTCGTAAATTTTTAAAAAGACCAACCCTCTTCAGTTAAAAAAGAGGGAACGCCTATTAAACGTATGCAGGAGCATGCACAAGCCCGTTTCTGCTTGTGCACACTCTGTTTGAAAGTTGCTGTTTGCATCGCTCTTACAAGCTCACTTTCCATAAGAAGATTTGCAATTTTTTCACTATGTCAGACTCCCCACCAGTAAGTGAAAATAGAAACGACCACTTAGGATGGTCTTCCGTAAACACAGAATGATTGACAATTAGGAGGACCACTTATTTTGATGATCCATTCGAAAAAGAACATCCTCCACTATACCAATTCCATCCATCCATCCATCCATCCATCCATAAGGAAGCTATCATCCAGAATTGTAGAAAAATGGTCCTTCAAAAGGCTAGTGCAGTAAAGCTGCTGTCCTTCACAGTTTTTCCTGCATTACTTTTACTTTTATACCTGAAGTAGTTTCAAAAAGTTAAAAACATTAATGCTTTTGACACCTCTGCTTCTCTGACAGAAGAGTTTGTTTTAAAAAAAATACTTAATTACTGACCAAAATCTTGATCTTATGTTTTTAACAAAAACATGGTTACATGAATTCAATGAGGCGCTGTCATGTTGGGATTAAGATGTCTAACCCACATGCAGAAACACTCGGAGGCAGAGAAAAAGTTCAAAGGTTTATTTACAGTAATGTACAATAAATGAACTGGTCAAAGAGGGTGGTTGACTGGTCAGGAGAGGGTTCACCGCTGAGGAGGACAGAGGGGTTAGTGTTGGTCCAGGTATATTGCAGGTTGTTTGATGTTCAGGGTCATACCTGTTCTGGAATGGAATGAAGCTGCAGAGGGGGGGGACCTTGAGGGTCCAGAGGCTGTCGGCAGGCAGAGGCAGAGCTTACTGAGTGGAGGCAGGCAGATCTCTGACTGAGTCTTTTCTCTCCAAGTTATCTCTGATGGGAGATTACAGACAGATGCAGCCCTCCAGAGTTCCACTTAGAACGGGCAGGCAGGTAACCAGCAGAGACAACTCTCCAGGATTTCAGTTTGTCAGGCAGGATCGATCTGTGAGACAGAAAGGTAAACAGGATCAGACTTAGTTCACAAAAAGTCAGAAGACTTAGACAAGCAGGTTGGCTCAGGCTTTGCTAACCATTACTGGCAAACACTCTGGCCCTGGAGTGTAGGTCTCCGCCTCCTTAAGTTGGGAGCCTCCTGATGAGCAGATAGAGGACAGGTGTTGTAGACAGCTCATGCTCCAGGAGATCTCTTGCGCCCTCTGGTGGAGAAAGTGGACAAACCTCCAGATCCCAACAGGCGCCAGCTCTGATACCTTATAGACTTAATGGCACCAATATTTTGAAGCCTCATTAGTTCTAAAAAAAACCTTCCCAGTAATTACAATTACCTTTTATTTGTGCTATGTGTTGATTATGACCGGTTAATTATTGTGGGAGACTTTAACCTGAACACTTATGATCCTGAAGAAAGAAGTACAATAGAACTACTTGATACTCTACGAAATGTTGGTTTGACTCAGTATGTTAAACAGCAAACACACAAGCAGGGACATATTTTGGAATTCATCATTAAAAAGATTCTCCAAAGTGTCTGTAACTAAGATTGACCTATCTGACTATTCTTCCCTAATATTTTATATAGCATCAGTTCCAATGATTCAGTCTGCCAAACATTAATAGAACAAAGAGAGGGCTACTGAAACTATTTACCAGATTTAGTATTCTTCCTTTACTTTGGTGCTAACACTATTGATGAGCTGGTAGATAACTTTTACTCTATTATTATCCATTCCATTGCTATAATTAAAGTGGAGTTTTTTTCCGGGAAGAAAATTCCACATAGAGAAGTGCTCCACCAATCAAAGTTGAAACAAAGAATGCAGGAGATCAAAGTCTGGACACCAGGTTTAATACAACAGCTATAAAGTGATTCTACAGATATAACTTACAACTGAGCATTGAAAGAGATCTCATTCATATCTGAGCTCATTATCAGAAATAATATTAATACATATACTGTATTTGCCCCGATTGACAAGTTAAGAAACCCCCCTGTGAGTGTAATATATGAACTCTACCAGTAGCTGCAAAAATATTCCTAACTTCTTCACTAAAAACCCAACAGATCAGAGGGGCAGTCAGTTTATCCATATCAATAAACATTTTTTTTCTCTTTTTTTTTTTGCTGATTTCACCAAATAAGCTACAAAGACTTAAAAGAAACTGTAAACAAACAAAGCTCTTCCACCTGCTGTCTCAATTGTTCTACTCACAGCTTCCCTCCATGCCTTAAAAACTGCAATTATGAAACTGCTGCTGAAACGGAATAACTTCAACAAGTTAGATGAACAACAGGCTTTACTCAAACTTCCTCTTCATCAGTTAGATAATAAAAAAAAAAAAATGGTTTGGTAGCTAAATATCTGCCTTAAAACGACCAGTCACTTTCAGGTCCCACTGTACACTCAAGCTTCTGTTCTTAAAAAAAATAAATAAAAAAAATAATAAATAATAAATATATATATATATATATATATATATATATTTTTTTTTTTTTTTTTTTTTAAAGGGAAAACAAACTCTGGTGTAAACTGGTTTTGATGTTACAAATTGTGATAAAAGAAAAATAAATAAATAAATGAAAAACCTATTTCCTGCATTTTTCAGGGGAAGTTAGTCATAAAAAAGCGGGAGGCGGGGAATAACATTGATGATTTGAGATCATACAAAGTTGAGGGAGGTGGACTTATTTCAGTTAGAACTTCTCTCAATGTGTGCCTTGGGGGAGGGAAAAAAGAAAGAAAAAAAACACCTACAAAAAACAAATGAACTCAATATCTTAAATTTCATACCAACCTTAAAAATGAGTTAGTAACACTGAGTTTATTTTAGAAAATAATTCTAAATGAACCTCACTCTTAGCTATACTATAAATGACTAACTGTTTAGCCATCAGTTTAACAATCAGGTTTAGGGGATTTATTATCAATATAAAGACATTAGATCATTTTTTTGTGTTACTAGCAACAACTAACCAGCAGAGGGCAGAACAGATCAACACAAAAACACCAGCTGGCATAAAATTGAATTTAGAAATTATGACTTTATCTGTGATGAATATCACTGCTCAGTCATTTTACGGTAAAACCCTTTATTTTTATGACCTCAACTAGTTTCACAAGTAATGATTCAATAACGTTAGGAATGAGGTTAATTTCAGATCCAGGCATGCTGACCATTGTAATAAATTCCTCCCTTAATTCAATGATATTGTTAAAATCATGAACTATTTTTTAAATTTGTACACAGAACGTCACAGATCAAAGGTTATCCAAATCAACTATCCCAAAATAGCCTCAATTTATGCAGCACTTAGACTGACATTTAAGACAGGGGTCACATGTGACAGAGGCCAACAAAAACATAAAGTGAGGCAGCTTAGAATTAAACACAGACTTGAATATTATCAGATATTTTTGTAGTATCCAGATTTCCCAAAAACAATCATTGTACGGTAATGCTAATGGAAGACACAAACAGCAGTATGGAAAGAATTAATTAGGGGCTTAAATGTAAAGTCTGATTAATAAAAAAATCATGAAGGGTTAAAGATTATTTTTTTTACCTTGAAAAAATACTTTTCTTTACAAAGTATTTAATATCTTAGCCATCCATAGTTCTAAACGTATAAATATATGACAACACATCTCGATCATTTACCTAATTTTGGATTCAAACACAGTAGGAAGGTTAAAAAGGTCCAAGACAAAGAGTCTGTTTAGTTATCAGGACAAAAATAAGTTGCATAAACAGTGATCATTCTTGGATGTTAAAAGCCTAAGGAAACCTAAATTTCATTTCATATTCTTCTTTTTTTTTGGTGAAATTACAGTGTTCTTCATCTCTTTGGAAAAGTGTTGAATCAATGCATATGAGTACAATCACTTAATATAGAAATTAGTAATTTAAAGAGGTCAATTCTTTTTTAGAAAGGAAGTTATGTATAACAGCTCTTGTGAAATATTCTTGGAAGGTGAGATTTTATGCAAATCATTGCCTAGTTACTCTGCTCACGTACGCATCATTGTTGAAGCTGTTTTAAAAAATGGCAAAGCTCCTATTTGTGAGTAAGCACACAAGAATAAACATCACATTTATTCTGATGCATTCACTGCCCCCTCTTTTTTATCAAGTTGACATCATTGCACCGGTTCAGCATTGTGAGCAGTGCGTCAGCTTCTAGATTCCTTCTCTTCCCATCAAAAACTTTGCCTTCCCTTAGAAATAATGACCACAGATTTCTCCTTAAAACCTTTTGATGACACACAGCAACAGTTGTACT